GGGGGGAGGTGTGGAGAGCATGGTTGTATGGTGATTCATTACGTTGGTCGTGGCGTGCATGTATGTATGTATGTATGTACAGTTCTTCATCCGTGGGCGCTGCCAACAGTGTCAATGCCCACTAGTACGGCGTCAGGCCATGCATCCACCTCGTCAAGAGATCCACCTTCTCCGGCGTCGCAATCGCTACCGACCCAAAGCCTTCTCCGAGATGCATGACAGTCTCGTTGCCTTGCTGATTCGCACTCCACGTGGCCAGCGTCCCGTTCGTGAACGACCCGCCCAAGTTCGGGTTCCCCGTCTTGACGAAATTTGCCCAGTACGACGACAGGACATCCGCCACGTAGTGGTCATACGCCGTCCACGGCAGGTCCGTGGCGTACAGGTTCCTCAACACGTAGTTGATCTCGGTCATGTGCGCGGCGCCCGACGTGGTGCCCGGCCGCGCGTGGTCCCAGTAGTAGGTGTAGAACGGGCTGCTTGCGCCCGACTTGATCCAGCCGTTGGCGTAGAGGTACGACGAGACGAGCGAAAGATCGCACGCCGCCTGGTTCCACTGGGCGTTGCCCTCGCTGGAGTTGGAGGCGGGGTACAGCTTGAAGAACTCGGACGACAGGTTGCCGTACCACGCCGTGTTGTACCGCTCGAACTCGTCGAGCGTGAAGTTGGTCGTCGTCGAGGCGCCGCTCTCGTCGCGGTTGTTGCCAGTCATCATGACGACGTCGTTGGCGGGGCCCTGGATGAGCTCGTCGATGTACTTCATCGGGATGACGTAGTCGTCCAGAGTGGATTTGAACAGCGGTGGGTTCGACGTCCAGAGGGCGGTCAGGTTGCTGATGGAGTAGTCTCTGTCGTCGCTGCCCACCAAGAGCTCTTCCATGCTGAGGGTGCGCAGCTCGGCAATGCTGCTGACGTTGTGGAAACTGGTGTAGTTGAGACCGGTTTCGATGCCGTAGTCCATGGTTCGGTACGAGGTTGCGAGGGCGGCAAGCAGCGGGTCGTAGGGGTATCGAATCCCGCTCTCGGCGATCATGCCGCGGAAGAGGCCCTTCGCCAACGGGCTGTTGACGGCGTGGTACACCTGTGCAGAGCCGAAGGATTCGCCGGCGATGGTCACCTTGTTCGGGTCGCCACCAAAGTTGGCAATGTTCTTCTGCACCCACTCAAGCGCAGTGATGAAGTCGAGGATCCCGTAATTCCCAGATGAGTTTTGGCCAGACTCTTCGTTGAGAGTAGGATGTGCGAGGAACCCGAAGGCGGCATCGCGGTAGTTGTAGCTCACGACGATGACATCCTTGGTAGCCAGCCCTCCTCCGTCGTAGAGAGGCTCTGCGCTTGTCTCCCCGCTTCCGTAGTTCCAGACCAAGACCGGAAGTGAGGCGTTGGGCGAAGTGGCTGGGGTCCAGATGTTGACCGAGAGGCAGTCCTCGCTGAGCGTGTAGTCGACAGCCTGGTGGGCAATGGGGCACGCCGGCCCGAACTTGGTCGCCTTCAGAGTTCCATTCCATCGTTCGCGGGGCTGCGCCGGCTTCCAGCGATTCTCGTACGCTGTATCCGCCGCATATGGCACGCCGAGAAATGCGGCAATGTCACTGTCGGGGAGTCCAAAGTACTTCTGCGTCGTGGTGCTGTTGAAGTACTTGAACCCCTGCACGGTTCCGTATTCCGTCTCGATCGGGACATCGTAAAGAGTGGCCGAAGATTGGCTGGGAGCATAGCCCAAAGCCAGGATGGGAAGGAAACGTGAAGCCCGTGACACCTTCATGGCTGTAGTCTTGGAGCGTGGAGGTGCGACATGAGACTCGGGGCCGACGTCTTATATACTCGCATCGGCTATAAATGCGAACTGCCCAGACGAAGATGGCCGGCCGGGATCGGATGAAACATCACCTCATCTGAGCACACCATGCCTGATCTCAACGATCTACTGTGGAGTGATGCAGGAACGACCTGCCTAAAGAGCGTACCGGACTTCATGCATGCGCGTTTAGGTTTACGTTTATACGGATCTCTCACTCAAAATTACGCGGCGTTTCTCCTTGTCAGCCCGACTTACCGGTCGATCTTCCCCAGAGGTCAGGCACGCCAGTAGTGTGAGCTCGTAATTCTAGAGCTGTGTGTGACGCGTGTCCACAGCCTGCTGTAAACCCGAGCTCGGAGATGTTCGGGCCTAGCTTTATGGCCGAAGTGGTGCCTATTGCTTACCGCTACTTATATTACTACACGCCGACCGCATCCGTCCGAGCTTGGGAAGTCCTGTCTATTATCCCATCTGCTACAGCCGTCTGATTTTATCTCCGACTTTACCTCCGAGGGCATTAACGCTTTCCTCATCGAGACTCTTGGCGAGCATCGCCACTGTCGACACTACCAGTCTTTTTAGCATGAAACGCCCACAGTTCATAAAGAGCGCGCTGCCATCTTCAATGGTTTAATCTCAATGGGAAACTGGTGTGCTGTCCAAGTTTCCAGCAAAAATATACGCTGCGACAAAGAACCTCGGAGGTGGCCTCGGAGGAGACAGGGCTTGGCTCGTTACGAACGTAAGCGTCCCTTCGACCGGCAATAATTAGCTTTGTTTCACCGCTCAGGATCAACTACGGAGCGAATGGAGGCCCATATCGATACAGAGTGGATGGATACTGTTCGAAGTTTCTAGCCTGAAATAAGTTACGCATACATCCTCCCAACGATAGGACTCCCAACCTCGCCATTCGAAAAAGAGCAGTGGCCGTGCTCTTCTCTAATACCAGCCTGCTCGTCAAGAATAACTCCCCACTTCACAGGCGAGAGCTCCGACGTCCCCTCCGGGACGTGGCACGCTGCCGAGATAGCCATACTGCAGCTTCCAGCCATCGGGATACCGGGCTCCAATCGGCGGGACCCAATGATGAGAGCGAAGCCCGCCAGAATGGCGAGTATGACCAGGGTGATAAGCATGCCGAGCGGAGAATAGCCGCAGGTAATGATCTCATCGGCCTCAGTGAGATTGTTCAAGCGAAACCACGCCCCAACGGCGTTTTTGCCTTTGATCTGCACGAAGAAAAGGCTCTGCGAGACCATCCAATGTAGCGAGACTGACAAGCAGAGGAGCGGAACTCCGAGTCTGTACGGAAGCTGCAAGAAGTATGTCGACTTCTGCTCGATGCTGCGCCGTGCGGACACACGCAAACCACACCTGCGCTGTCCGAAACGGGCCCACTCGGAGGCCAAAGACATGTTTGTGACCAGACTGTTCATGGTAAAGTAGAGAAACGAAAGAAGCAGCTGTGGCAAGTTGGCGATGAGTACTGTCTGGACGATTGCCTGGTCGCCGCTCGTTGCTACATTCCACCCGCTGATGAGCGTTTCGGGGAGCACGGCGCCGATCCCCATCTCCCAGATCCAGCGGGCCTTGCCGCTTCTGTGAAACTCAAACATGGAGTAGTAGAATAGTCCGGAAATGGCCGAAAAGGCCGTGGCCAACCTGGTATCGGTGAGCAGGCGTTTCCGTTGGCCTACGTGAGGGACTTACATGAAGCCGGAAACCTTCCAACGACCTTTACTCGATGCTTCGTACAACCTTTGCTTCGAAGCCGAGAAAGGCCTTGCCGATTGCACAGGCAGATAACCGTTGATTTCGGAACTCTCGTCGCGGCGTGTAAGTTGTTCCATGGAGATACCAGCGATTTCAGCACCGTAAGCGCTCCCGTCAACCTTCGGGCTTCGCTCCTTCTCTCGCTGAGCCACATCCTTCCAAGACCAGTTGCACATGCCGCTAGTGGTCTCGTCACGCTCCCGTACAAATGACGCCACCGCATCTCCGATCGTCATCAGAGGGTTTTCCTTGATCGTCAAAGCAGCAGCCACGATAGCAATCAGTTTGACAACGTTAGAGCACATGACTGACAATAAGAGCGGCAGTGCGACGTTCAAACTGCACTCGCCCGGCATTCTCTCACTCAAGCAGTGGTTGATTTCAAAACCAGCAACGGTCCACGTTCGTTCCCCGAGGTAGTCTTTCCATGCCGCCTTCGCAGCACAATCCGACGAGCCGGTGATCCAGTGGCTCGGGTCCGAGCCTCCTTGGTAGCAGATCCACTGGAAATAGTCGACCTCCCGATTATCTGCAAGTGGCCGTTCCCACGGTATGACTGCGTACAGCGAAGAATTGCTGCGGCAGCTGACGAAACGCAGTGATTGCGTGAGGATAGCTTGGGAAGAGTCCGGGGGACCACACGCCACATCAGGCGAGTGCAAGACGTCGGACCAGGATACGCTCATACTGGTGTAATTTCCGGCGGTTAATAAATCGTACTCTATGCCTCCCGTGAAAGTAAGGTTGTCAAGCGGCGAGTTTGACGCGACGAGAATCAGGTTTCGGCGGCCCGTCAAGATGGCGTTGGCATAGTGTTTCATGCACTCGTCCTTGTCTAAGCGCTCGAATTGATCACTGAGTCCTTTTGCTGCAAGTTTGCGGACGTCGTGAGGGCTGGTGGAGTAATGTATATAGTTCCAGGTTTCGTTGACGGTTCCGTCGGGCCAACGGATGGTCGCGTTGTTTGTTGGCAAATCAAATTCCGGTGGAGGCGATGGAAACAGATCCTCGTCGAAAGGTGCTCCGTTCGCGAATCCCTCGTTGGCAATGTATATATCATACGCATACGTCACGGTAGATGTGTAGAACACGGAGTTGTATCTTGTTCCAAGTCAGTGGCGCATACTGTATCCGCGAACGCGTGACTTACAGCAAATGGAACGGGACCGACGAAAGGCTGAGAATGATCCAGATGTAGAGCTTTCTGCGTTGAATCTTTCGGAGGTTGCGCATGTTCGGAACACCAATGTGAAGCCAAAAGCCTTCTGAGTGGGCTTTGTTGACTTCTTTTCGGGTTGGCGCGCTCAGACATTGCGGAACGTAATTGCTTCCGCTCAGAACGAGAGAGCTCAGGATGTTGATAGCCAAGTGAATCCAAGTCCCAAGTCGTTTGATCTTCTCACAGTTTCCGACGACGAGTGGGGCGAAGGTTCAACTACTGCCTCGGTCGAGCAGCATTTTGTAGGTAATAACGGCGACAGAGATGTTGACTATCAGTGCGAAAGCCGAAAAGGCTGCAGCACCTTTGACGCCAGTTGACCAGCCTGAGCCAATACGCTTGCGTGTGATAGCCTGCCAGCCATTGCGCAGTACTTTGGATATCCGACCATCTTGTTTCCTCTTTGCGCTGAGAATGTCGTGGTTTTGAGTAGATTGAGGGATATCCATGGACAAACCACGGACTCGTGAGTACTGGTTGTCGGACGGGGTAGGACTTGTCAATATGTTAGCGAGTCAACGACACGTAGTTGCGTGGCTGCCAAACATGCCTCAATTGAAAGTCGGTCATGATTCCACAAAGGTGATATGTGAACGAAAGGAAGGGCGCGAACACGGAATATATAGCAGGCTGTTTTGATCAAAATCGGTGCCATGCTGAGTCATCCATGCGGCGATACACTTCACCAAGTTAACGTCAGACTGCCTATATTAGTGTTCATAAACCCAGCGCCAAGTCAAGCAAGGAGCAGCGCGCTGAGTTCGGTAGCACCCTTCCGAATCTTGCAAGCTGAAAACAGCCAAGTCTATTGTTGCAAACTCTGTGTGAGTTGGGCCCCCCATCCTACGAAGTACGAACATAGATGACTGCTGATGCCTGGACTGCACTGGCCTTGCAGGATCCAACCGCACGGCTGATGTCGTTGCATGGTTGCGCCAATTTGCTCTTTTACGCCTTCCCAAGCTCAACCTCCTTCCTCAATCGGAACAGACTCGCCCCGCTGTCTCGGATGGCCCGGATGCTGTGTACGCGCGAACTCGGTCGCTCTGTTTCGAGGGCGCCGCACGTCGTCTCGGTCACACGTCTCAGGCCCACTGACAAGACGGCTACCCACCTTTTCTTGGCCCCATGGCATCCATGAGGGATGCGCCATTGACGTACGTGCAAAATATACATACCTTGTGCACCGACTTCAACCAAAATATGGCAGGAATACATCAGATTCGTTGTAACACACGACATGGAATCAGAAAGGAAAAGGGCCATTTCGAAAAGCTAATTGTCCAGCCAAAGATCTGTATTATACAGGCGTACTCTACTTCATCGCTTAGAGGTCACCGAATGGATGTAAAGGCATTCATACCTGACGTGCTTACTGCTTAGTGCATAGGGAACACCCTAGCAGCATACTGTCGTACGAAGTATAAGTTGTCAGCCTTACAGTATATGTTGTATTACCAGCTTATAAGTGACCTGTGCGTCACCTTCCTCATCGATGGGGCGGGGGTAACGTTGAAAGTAGGTTTCATTTATGTGTTTCGATGATCATGCAAAGATTTCCTTTAGAAAGAGCGTCACAAGGTCTCTAGACTGAGTAGGCATTACCACATACTGTCATACATGAATATTACCATAGAGTAGCATAATAGTCCAACAAAATGCCGATCTTGGTTAATATACACAATACGCAGCAATTCAATATGATTGAATGTCCAAGCCTGAATCAAAAACAGCCTATGAAGAAAGCTTAGGCGAAAAAAAAAATACATACAACTCTTCATTCATCGAACCCGACCAGTGGGCCGTAAAATTTACTCGTTTCTGGCAGGTTGATCTTCCATGTTTCGCGGTGAATCTGAAGAGGAATTGTGCCTTCGGTCCATGAGCTGCTGAGCTTTTTTCGTCACATCAGCCGTACGCACTCGATGGAGTCGCTTTCTGTAATCTTCCAAATGCCCATGTTCATCCAGCACCTTCAACAGCGGCTCGACCACGTGTTGGTATATTGGACGAAAGAATGGCCGCAGTAATGCTTGGACGGAGCACACCACAAAGAGGCAAGGGTAGACTGCGAACAGGACAATCGATACTAACGGTTTCCCACAGCCTCGAACCAGCTTGGTCAGCGGCTCTACGATAGTGTCGTCCAGGAGTTCGGCATTTGCCAAGGCGAATACGGTGATTAGTAACGAGATGATGGCCGTTGCTACCATAAAGCCAAGGGTAAGCCTCTCTGGAGCGCCGCTCATGCTGAAGATACCTGTGGCAAAGCCAAGAGGCAGAAAGACGACAGTCACATAGGTGAACAGTGACATGTTCTCTGAGCCCCTGAAGCTCTTCTATACTTACTTCAGTACTTGCGATATAGTGAGGGTGGGGGTTTGAGACTTACATCGTCCCGAATAGAGCCCAAGCGTCCGGTTAACGAATCCCGAAATGCTTTGATTTTGACCTTCAGTCTCTCCAGATCCCGGACCTTCCTCTGGTTTTGAAATCGGACCTTATGGATTGTGTTTCGGAAATTTCGCTCGTCGTTTCTCGTCCACCTTGGGCTCTCTGGCTCCCGGTCCACCTCGCGGTTGCTCCACTCACTGATTCTGTCCAGATTTCCGTCAAGATCATCTCCCAGCGTCTCGAGGATATTCTCAAACAACCTCCATCGACTGATAAGGTTGAAGTAACTTTCACTTTCGCTTAGTTTGAGAAACTGGTAAGTGCTGTCGAGAGCCTCGGAAAGAGGATTCGACAGATCGGAGACGGCCATTTCGTAAGAATAACGATTGTCTCCATGCTCGAATTTCCCAAGTACACTCTTTCGAGCGTTCTCTCCCGAGTATGGAGACTCATCTCCTTCACCGTCACCTGGACTTCTAAGAACGCTGTCCCGAGCCCAGACGAATATCTTCTCCGTCTCCGTCTTGATCTCATCCAGAATCATGTCGAGCAAAAGAAGCTCGAGCACCTTTCGCCGTTGCCATGGATGTTTCTCTTTCCCAGTTGGAGTATCCTTGATGGCGGTTATCCTCAGAGATGACATGCGCTCTTCAAGTTTCGAGGCCCCGGTCTGCAAAGTTGAACTAGAAGCAGTGTTCTGCTCTGTGTCTGGATCCGGTTGAGAGCGGCTATCAGCGGTATGGCCTTGTGTTTGAGTCGGTTGTCGCTTGCTTCTGCCGAAGTTGTCATTCGAATTGGGTTTCGAAGAAGGATTCCCCGGTGCGTATTCCAGGAAGTGACAGGTCCAGTACCGATCAAAGAAGTCACCCACGAATCTGAAGCCCATCGTCGCGCGAACAATACCAGTCACACCCGCTGGACCCTGTTGAGATTTCGGAGGTCGAGGAACGACATAGCTGAACTTCGGGATGCCTTCTTTCTGACGGAAATCCGCTAGTTTGGTGAACTCAGCGAGCCGATAGAATGAGAGATGCAACTCAGTCTTCCATTCATTCAATGCTGCTGACGTTTCATCGGAAAAGTACTTGTCGTAGAGTGCATGTCGGTCGAAGAATTCTGATAAGTCGTTCCGCTCAGCGGTGGGAGACGCAAGGCAGCAAATCAATGCCGTCTCTTTGTCAGCCTCAGGCAACCAAATCAAACGTTTTTTGGACGATAGAACGTCTCGTGGCTGTTCGAGGAGTTTAAGAAGCTTCTCGTTACAGAGCAAGGGTTTTTTCAATCTTTCCCTTTTCGATTCCTCATTTCCCTGAGGAACATCTGCGACAAGAGCCTTCTCTCCTGTAGCATCTGTGAACGAGTTCGCTTTCCCCCTTTTTTTTCCGTGATACGATTCCCAGGCAGCGTACGCCACAATGTCTGCACTGGTTGGAAAGTCGTCGAGTTTGCGGATGAAGGCACCGTATTCATCACGACTCATACCGTTTCGACACTCCGACTGTGGCCTAAACTCCAGAGCCTCTGGTCCTGGTTGAAGCCAATCATCCGATATCTCGACAAGTCCCTTTGGGTCAACGAGCTTGTTCATGTTGGCAAATTGAAGCTTCTTCGCCATGAATCCGCTTGTGATGGAGGAAGGGTTGACCCCTGTGCTCTTTGCCTCGTTGCCCAACGGCCGGTCGCCAGCTGCTTCAAGACGAGTCTTGCCATACTTCCAAAGGATGTAGGGGATCTCGAAGGTGGTTTGCCAGTAGGTGTCCCGATAAGTCTCGTTTCGGAAGTGCATGGGTTCCTTGCTCTCTGTCAAGAAGCCAGGGAACAGACCGCTTGGTGAAGACATGTCAAACAGATTCTCGGTTGCAGTACCGAAGAGCTGTCCTGCTGACAATGTTTTGTTGATCTGCCGTTTTTTTGACGCGAGAATGACCGACATGGCGTACCAAAGAGGCTTTCTCCATTCCAGTGCCTGTGTTTCTTGGTGTTCGACCTGACACTCAATCGTGTTCCTCCATTCGTCCATGATACCTTTCCAGCCATCATTCTTTTCGTCGGGATTTTTCTCCTTTCTGTAGAATATCCCGGAATCAATGGCGTAGAAAAGAGCGGTGTCCTTGGAATGGAGAAGAAATCGTGTCTCTGACCTTGTGCGAGATGTTGCGATCATGCGTCGGTTTGACATCGGATTCTCCGTAATGAAACGTTTCAGGATCCTCTTTCGAACAGTACCCTCGTCGAACCGCCCCTTAATCATGTTGACCTTGTTGTCGTCGAAACCGAGACTGTCTATCCGCGACAATGCTTGCCATATTCGAACGTGATCCACCAAATGGAACTTCTCCTTTTCTGTCGAAGTCATCCGTGCGAATGCATACTTCTTCCGTTCATCCTTCTGGTCTAAGTCTTGGAGCCATGCCACGATTCTGTTCCACAGTCGCGTCCTTGCATGTTCCGACGAGTAACTGAGGCCGTAGAATTTGAGCACCTGCAAAGGAGTGTCGACGAGGGATGGCTCGGGCAGGTAAGATGTGTCTTCGATTCGTTTTCCGTTGGCCCAGTAGTGTGCAGAGAATGCCAGTTGTTCCCCCTCAGGTCCAGGATCCGTTGACTCAGATACCCACTTCAAATGGCGCTTGTAAGTGTTTATGATTCTGTTTTTCAAGTGCTTGGCATAAAGGGTCTGCATGCTCTTGAGATGCTCAATCATCGACTGCAAGAATTGTATGGCATAACTAAATATTGTTAGCGTCGTTTTAGCAAAACATCAATACTTGGTACTTACAAACTTGCTGATGTACCAACGCGATGGCCAGAGATGTCTCCACACGTCAAAGCAATTGGCGAGTCCTCGTGCTTGCAGTCGCCGGATTCTGGTGTTGGTGAAGCCACGGGGATACTACAAACAGATAAAATGTGCTCCAGGTTGCGCCGAATGAGGAAGTCCAAATGCTCGTGGCTTGAAAAGATTATTTTTTCATAAGATTCATCCTGACACATTTTCGCCATTGCGTCCCAGTCAGCCGACTTGTTTTCATTTATTTTCTTGAGCCGTAGGCTGTAGGTTAGAAGCACATCTAGCACCCCGAATTTTTTGACTTGAGCTTGGATCGCTTCACTGAAGCTGATGGTGGGAGCCTGGCCATCCTTATCCAAACAGAATGCTTGAAACTTCCCATTCACGTAAGCTTTGATGGTTAGGACAACGTCCTTGTGTTTATCAGCGCTTTTAATGCCCATTTCCTCAAACCTATTTTTCGGAATTTTTCGAGAGACTGTGAGACTATCATTCTCGATTCGGAATTGGTTGGAACGATGGAAAAATGCGGACTTGTCGTTGAAGCGCAAGCGTTCCGTAAAATCGAGGTTTCGAATAAGAAGGCCTGTCTCCAACTCCAAGCAAGTGAGGTCCAAATCTTCATCTGTCTTGTTCTCTCGTTTCAACGTACTTCTTTGAAAGATTGTTCCATCAGAACAGAAGTATTGGACCGAGAGAGAGAAATCCCTCGATAAGCCATGAATTGAGGACTGCTTTCCGGATGCTGTTTCTTTTTGATTGATAGCTTGGCAGGATGTGTCAGGTGCATCGCACGTGAAGCTGGTGAAGCGTGGCCATCGGTCGTCAACAAATTCCAGATGAGGAAGGGCTTTATGAAAGTCCCATTTGTCTCCGAAAGCACCTTTCCAATCTATTCCAAAAGCGACAGCACTATCTTGCGCTTTTGCTAGAAGATCTCGTAGGCGGGAACTCGAGTACCATGGAGTTGAGATGTCACGCTGGTCAACACAGAAGAAGCCAGACCGGCCAACGCCAAAGTATCGGCAAATCTGCAATAGATGACCATGCGCGCTAACGCTTGCCGTTGTGCCGCTGTCGCCAAAAGAGCTGTACGTTTCGCGGTTCCGTATCCCATTGGAATTTGCTTTTGGGTTCTTGGGAAGTGACGTTCGTCGATTGTCCGGGATCCACGTGCCCAAGTCTTCAATCAACCTTGATTAGAAGCGAAGCTAGACAAATGGCTGATGATCACACTCACTCCGAATGAACTCTTCTCGACCGTCGTCTTCTTTGGGTGCTTCGGGGGGCTTGGAATCTGCTGCTGGCGCCTCCATTGGAGGGTTCTGCGATTCATGTCCGTGGAGATGTTGCGGTGCTGACTCTGGTTGAGCTTCAGCGTCCGGTCCAGGAGATGGTGCGCTCATGGTGTGCCGGGGGATACGGCGCGCTGTATACGAGCAATTTTCTGGCCTGCTAGTTGTGGACGTTGAACTGATGCACAAATCGCTTCTGATGCATGGACAATGGAAGCTCGTAGGCAAGGAAGGGCAATGATGCTGTGTTGACTGAATAGTCTGACCCTGCGAGGACGAAGGAACGAAGGCCTTTTGAATGCAATCCCCAGTACAAGGTCGAGTACACGTATCGTTTCGTGCAGCCCTGGGGAGAAAAAAAAAATCCAACTGCACCGGACGACCTGACGATACTGGGGCATACCATTTCTGGGAAAGATCTGCCGCTCCTTTCTCTTGCGGCACCCCAAATTGCTTCTCAACCTGACAACCGCTACGTTGGAGACTATTCGGAGAAATTTCCAATCGGGGCCTCTTCCCCATTCCCATCATCAGGTTCTTCAAGATGCCAAATAGCCCAAGGCCTTCTTGACACCCTCCGGGGACCTCTTGCGAGTGCAATCCAAGATTCCATAGACCACTCGATGCGGCTAAACTGGTGGACCCCTATTCGTGTCTATTCGCGAATGATTCCCCATCTAAGAAAAGTCACGGCTCACGGCGGCTGCACTGGCACCCCAGAAGCTGAAGCTCGCCACGTCGACGCTTGCGTCGATCACAGTGGGGCAGTTGAAAGAAATTCTCACTGTCAACAAGCACTGTTGCGGCCAAATGCCTTACCAAGGTCGGAACTCGGTGCTTCATGACTAGCTGTGGATGTGCTTCTTTTTCTCTTGTGATTGCTTCAACTCGCCAACATGCATCTCGTACTTTTTTATCGTTCTCGGTCTCATACTGTACTACTTTATCAGCCTACTGTCGTATGTGTAGCTGGTAGTCATGTTTTCATCTGGACCTCCATTTCATGTGGCCTGCATTTTCCGATGGGCGGACCTTGATGCAATATGCAGCATGAAAGACGTGCTCCCAGCTGCAGAGTCGCTGATACTACCGTTACCTTATCTCACTGGCGGGATGTTGGTGGAGTAGTATATTTCTTTTGTTCCGCCAGCTCACGATCAGCGAGCGCAGTGGGGAAGCTCAAACGCGACCGAGCTGAAAAGGTCATTCTCCTGACCCAATGCAAGCATCCTCGCATGGCAGTGCAACGGGAATTCCCGAAGATTGATGTGAGACACGGGAAAGAAAAAAGCCCAACAAAACGCATGCGCCTGTATGGCGTCAGGAGGGCAGCAGTGCGAAAGACAAGCTCGTTCCGAAGACGGAAGACCGCCCTATCCGTACTACATTTCCAATCTCCTAGCCATCAGCGAATCAGCCTTCCGGATAGCCTGCGAGCTGATGAGAGTGATCGTCTCCCACTCGCCTGCTGTTTCAATGCCTCCATAGCTTACCAATCCCCATCACAACAGCATCAAGGGCCGGAGCGTGACGTGTTTTCTAAGAGATGGAAGCGTAATGTCCGCCGACCAGATTGCAGGCACACTTTGCCTATGACCAAGGTTGAAGCATGCTTCTTCGCACGGCTACTTGTAATGGTGATATTCTCGCCAAATCACGACAGACTCAATGGCACACGACATTCGTTTTAGATTCTCTCTCTCTCTCTCTCTCTCTCGTGCTTTGTTCCGGTGGTATGAGGCTGATTTAAAGCCTGTCAACCGTCCGGACGCCCAGGCTTTATACATAGGTGCCAGAGCATACCGGATGCAATCCCGCTCTTTCTTCACATTTTTGGGATGCCGTGACGTCTTTTTCTACAATCAAGACCAACGCCGCAACGCCCTCCGTATATCGTCTAAATATATTGTACAGCACCCGCACATCAACAACAACCGGGGGAGAAACATCTACGGCGTATCTCTCGGGTCCGGGGCAGCCTTGGTCTCGGAGCCGTCGTCCGGTTTGCCCTTTGGCTTGGTCATCTTCGGGATCGGAGGCCACTGCGGGGCGGGGACGCTGAGGAGCTTGCAAACATCCTGTTTCACGCAACAACAAGTCAGCCACCACAAAACAAAGAGAGGGAGGATTCAGAAAGAAAAAGTGCCATACCTTTCTCCTCGCCCTGAAATCGTCATACAGCGCCCTCCACGCCTCCCGGTCCTGGCAGCCGCTCTCGGCGGGGGTGCCGGGGCGGATGCGGCACTTGGGCAGCATGTCGGCGAGCAGCTTGGCGGGCCACATGATCCACGGCTTGGGCAGGGGCCAGTCGGAGAAGTGCACGAGGCGGGCGTCGTCCAGGGCGCGGTCCGTGTCCCAGTACTCGTCCTCGCTGCCGAGGTACATGGTGTGGTCGACGGCGCGGAACTCGCCCGAGAGCAGGGCGAGGCCGCGGTGGGGCAGGACGAGGGCCGAGTCGGCGTAGCGCTCGTTGAGGAGCTCCATGTCGAAGCGGTGGGGGCGGGCGCCGCCGCCGAGCATGCCCTCGGAGGTGAAGGCGGCGTGCATGAGGGCGTCGTACTCGGCGGCGGAGGGGCGCAGCAGGACGAGCAGCGAGGTGAGCTTGCGGGTGTGGGGGAGCTCCCAGTAGGCGCGCGGCATGGCGACGGGGGCGGCGGGGAGGAAGAAGAGGTCGTCGAGCGGGCGGCGGAGGGTGACGTCCGAGTCGATGTGCAGGACGCGGTCGTACTGGGTCAGGTTCCAGGCGAGGAACTTGTTGATGCTGAAGTCCCACGTCTCCTCCTCGGCGTCGTCGTCGTCGTGCTTCTCGGTGCGCACGCTCTGCATGTTCGTGGGCCGCAGGGTGACGCCGAGCTTGTCGCGGGCCATGAGGAGCAGCTGGCTGTCGCGGTCGGTGGAGCTCTCGACGGTGAGGTCCCACTCCTCGGGGTAGAAGAGCACGCGGTCGGCGCGGCTGCCCAGGCGGTGCAGCTGGTCGAACAGCATGACCGAGTTGCACAGGTAGGCGCCATTGGTGGCATACTGCGAGTAGGCGAAGCGCGACCAGTCGACGTGGGCGTCGGCGAGGCCGTTGGGCAGGTGGGTTGCGGGGCGCGCGGGCTGGGCGGACGGGTGGTGGTTGTACCAGAGCAGCAGCAGCAGGGCGGCGGCGACGAGGGTCAGGCAGCGCGAGCGGCGCCAGGAGCGCGGGCGCGGGCCCCACTGCTGCTGGTTGGACGGCGGCACATGGATGGACCGGGGCGACGACCTGGACTTGTAGTAGTGGGTGTAGGTGCCGTTCGGCATGCTGCAGCCTTGTGTCGGTCGTCTCACGGGATGGGAGGACGGGAGTCCACGTCTGCGTCAGCCCCGGCCCGCCAGAGCCAGAGCTCCCTTTCGCTTCTCCGCCGCCCGCTGACTGATCGCCGCCGACCGTTGCCGATCCACCGCTCGCCCCGAGCTCCGCGTCGATCGCCACGACTTCGCCTGGCCAACTGCAACCCCGGCATTGATCTCGCATGCTCTCTGATTCCAGCCGCGCCAATGGCTCGGGCGAGAGGCTGCCGCCGCGACTGCATCTGCTTTTCCTCGCGTCCTACCCGGAGAAGCTACATACGACCCATACCGACACACGTCACATTCCGGACTGCCTTGCTCCTCACACCGACGACATAAATCCACGACGATACACCCAAAACTACAGCAGCTAGTTTCTACTCCTCAGCCCCGTCTTCCGCCGTGGCAGCCCTTCCTTCTTTCGAATTAACCCACGCATTCCTGCAGCTTGCATCAGCACGACTCTAGATAATCCAGCGGCGACATACTGTTCATTCGCCCAAGTCATCAACCAGTAGGCACCAAAAATCGGCGGCGCCCAAAACAAGACTTGGGCCTTGGCCCGGCGCCAAGTGTTGAAGACGGCGGCGTGCAAGGCCCCGCCCATGGCCCGCTGCCGGTTCCAGGACAGCCGATATGTCGTGATGCCCCTCTCGGCGGTGCCCCAGACCGGGTCGCCCCATTGCGTGAGTTTTGGGTACCTGGTGAGTTAGGGTGTTGCTTTGGTGTGTAAGCAGTCTGCGGGCTTACTCTTTGGCGATGCGGTTTTCGAGACTGTACCAGTGAGGTCCGCCCCAGTGCGGATCCTTGACGTATCTGAGCGAAATCAGTCAGATTGGAGGCAATTGTCCCCGGCGGCATGTGCTCTTACACATTGTTCAGACGGCGAGAGTTGGTACCGCCGTAGCCACCACCGCCCATGATTGCAACGTGAAAACGATTAAGTTGCTTGCAGGCAGGGGAAAATGAAAAAAAAAAAAAAGCAGAGCTCAGCGCTGTCAAACGTCTTTATGCAGCAGAACTTCTTGGGCGCACAGGATTAGGATTCGCATCCTGAGGCTGGAGTGCTCGCTCCCTATCGGCTCAGATCGGTAGCTAACGGCCAAAGGATCGTCGGGTGGCCAGGATGCTCGGCCGCCCACCGTAAACTGTACTTCTTTGGTCAGGGCTGAGTGCGTTTGCCTGGCTAGTGCAACCTTGGCCTGGCCACTGGGCGAGTCGCTGTCGTACAAGCTCGGTCGAATGCAGCCGCATCGCAGTGACCACACTTGTCGTGGCCAGCAGCCTGCGTTGCGAAAGCGCCAGGAAGCGGCAACATCATCTCAGCCGGCGGTTCGGCTCGACTCGGAACAGAGGTGGCCGGCCAGCAGCAATCGCACCACAACCATCACCCACCATAGCACTAGTACCCAAATCGCACCCCGCGCCATGCCCACGCCCCCAACCGGCACGTCATCGCAGCCCCCACGCGCCTCGACCCGCGCTCGGCGCAACTACCAGGCCTGCCTGGCCTGCAAAGAGCAAAAGGTGCGCTGCCACCTCGGCTCGCCCGACGACCCGCAGCCGCCATGCGCGCGATGTCGACGCTCGCGCCTGGACTGCGTCTTCGGCCCGCCGCGAGCCGCCGTGCGCAGGCCGACCCGGAAGAGGAGAGGCGGTGCTGATGACTGTGCGTGAACACCTGAGCACCCGTCGACCTTCCGCACCCCAAGCTGACACGCGACGCCGACACAGCACTGGATGCGGGCGGAGACTCTCTGCCGAACTCTGTGCCTTCGGTGGGCGTGCATGCTCCCGCTGCGGCGTCGGACGACAGCGCTGCCGAGCCTGGTCATGGCCGGCCTGCCGACGCGGCTTCCAGCAGCACCGCCACCGTCCCTGATCAGCATCCAAGCCCCTGGGATGCGTCTGCCATTGAGGCCTCGCTGCACTCGCAACACGTCTCCGCCTGGGCCCAGTTTGCCCTGTGCCGGGATGGGTGGATCAGCCCGCGGGAGGCCGAGTTTCTGCTGCAATGGTGCGTCTGGACTTTGCTGACATTTGACCTGCCGTGCCCGTGGGGTTAGTTGACGCCTGCATAGCTACTTCGACCGGATGAACCCTCTCTATCCCGTCGTCGATGAGACGTATCAGCACTCCTCACGACGTCACGGCCTGCTCGTCGATGAGCCCGTCCTGTGCACCGCCATTCTCACCGTTGCTTCACGCTACGCCTGGCTCGACGGCACCCCTGCAAGCTCCCGAGCCCATGAAATCCACAGTTTCCTGTTCAAGCAGGCGCAGCAGGCCATTCATCAATCTTTGTGGGGGATTGAGAGCATTGCTGATCGGGAGAGCCGCATTCTTTCCACCATCGAAAGCATAATCTTGTTTGTCGAATGGGTGAGCCCCCATCGCGCTTGGTCCAGTGCAACTCATTGATGTTGTTTCAGCGTCCACGACCAATGGACATCATGCCCAACCAGGGGACGATAGCAGGCGCTACAAACATGTTTGGCGTAGATGCTGCCGATCCGGGGACCACCCAGAACTCTGTCATAGGTACCATTGCTTTGGTCATCTCGTGAATCAATGCTGAGTGCGGCAGTGCAGATGACGAAACTCGGAAAGCTTATATGCTCGCCCGACGTCTGAATGCAACATCTTGGTAAGGCCCCTTGGACTTCCTTCCGGGAGTTTTGCTGATGAGACCAACGAGCGTAAAGGCGACTTCTCGGCCATGCCGTCAATCTCGCAGACGAGATATCCCTCGTCGAAGGCCTCACCAGATCCAGAGAAGCCCAGCCTCGTGCCCCTACCCATGTCCGCCGTCGCGCCCGCATCCGAGACTTGCTCATCCCGCTCACCTGGGAGATTGCCTTCCGCCTGGGCCGTAGTGCCTCCCTCAAGCTGCCCATGCCGTCCGCCCCGACGGCCGACGAGTATGCTGATGAGGGCGTTTTCTCGACGCTGCTCAACAGCAGGGCTGAACTGTACCGTCTCTGCCGCCTTGTCGAGAACACTCTCTACTCGTCGGTCAGCGCCACCAAGGACATCATTACCAGCGACAGGCACCCGGAAGTCGTTGCGGCCCTGGTGGATATACTGACTGATTGGTGGAACAAGTTCCAACGCCTGTCAGGTGTGTGAACTGGACAATCAATTCTCCTTGAGCACGTTCTGATTGCAGCATGCAGGGCCTTTTGCGTTCAGGAAGACGCTCGAAATCCAATATTACAACGTTTGGACGTATCTGCACGCCATCTTTTTCCAAGCAATACTGGAGCGGCTGCGGGGATTCACGACCGGCGAGCCCAGCATCCAGAATTTCGAGCGCACCTATCGGCCGGAAGGCTTGAGCATCGCCGAAGTCCTGCGGTCGGAACGTAGCCGTCGAGATCTTCACATGACCGAAGAAGTATGTTCTGTTCAGAGTAGTGAAAGACATGCTGACGTGTCGCAGATTGCGAAAGCCAGCGTCCAGGTGTTAGAACGAGTCCTCGACCTTGAGAGAGAAGGTTATCTGAGTTTCATCCCATTCACGACCATGACATGGATGTTCACTTCGGCCACGCTGCTGTTGAAGGTAATCGGGAATAACGTTTAAACCTGCATGGCCAAACCCCTGCTAAGCCAGCCAATATTGTGCAGGGAACCGGCTTACGCACAGCCGCCGACCTTGGCACCACGAGTCTCCTAAAACGCGTGTCGCAGTCTCTCGACCGGGCCGCAGTCGACGACGTGCATGCAATGTCCCACCGCACATCGAGCCTGATGTTCCTCATCCAAAAGGTGCAGGCCGGCCCAGCCACATCCCGGAACGCGGGCCGCCCGCGCAACAACATCGACGACGACGACGCAAGCAAGGTACGGGCTGATGCCGCACCGCAGGCGCAGCCTGTTCCTGAAGCCGCTGCCAATTTGCCGCCAATGAATACTGTCGACGCTGGCAACCGCGACGCCACTCCGGGCGTATTGCCGGGTTCCGGTGGGCTGTTTGATCCGATGCTTGCGGACGGCCTGGCCGAGGATTGGGCCAACTGGCTGAGCGTCGGCCTCGACAACATGGACGGCTCGTTCGGATTTGACCTGTTTTCCGGTTCCGCAGCCGGAGAGTTCCCCGCACCGTGGCAGAGCTGAAGTGTCTCCATGGTGAAGCCAGTGACATCGACTGAAGATGCAGCGGATGGTCTGGATAGTGCCGATATCGCTTTGCCATCCAACATCTCCCTCGCCACTGGGTTATCGAAACAGCGGAGAGGCGTAGGCAACGATAGAAAGCAAGTTCCTCGTCGCACACGGCACTATCCTATCAATAACCCTCTATCTCATCTCCCATTGGCCCACGTTTGCCGAGCGTGCTCATGCGTCGGCCAGCCACCGAACGGCATCAATACTCACAGAGACACCTCCGCCCCGCAGTGCTGTCTCTCCACTTACCCACTAGCACCGGCTCGGCGCTATCGCGTCCCGGGGGAGCAACTCTTCAGCCTGCAAGACCGCAATTGGTCGGGTTGATTGCCAAGAGCGCCAAGAGTACCCTGGACGGGGCTTGTTGGCAACAGACGGGGGTAGAGCCAAGAACGCCAAGGCGGCGCTGACGGCCCTATCAGTCCTATAGACAGCTGCCCTATTGGTGGGATGCGGGGGACAGCCCCGGGGATGATGCTTAAACCTGCAGCGATACTGGGGTACATATCAAAAGCCGACCGGAGAAGCGCGTCAGCCGACCACACGTTGTGCGCTCTCCTCCCCCAAAAGCTCGCCCGCGTACCATGCGGGCTTCGGTGGCTGAAACGGTGTGACATTAACCTCGACGAGGGAAAGGGCCCAACTCTCGCCTACTTGCTTCTCTTCTCTCTCTCTTTTCGCTCTTGGCCCCCCGGCCGTGTCGGCTCGCGCAGCCTCTGGTCCCGGATTTCTCCATATTGACCTTCCTACAACAGACGCCTTTTGCCACGAGGGTTATCCGGACTGGCCATGCGCCCAGCCAACCGTCGTGCGGTCCGCGAGCGGAAAACCGCATGCGCATGGCCGAGCGGTCGACAGCCCCTCCATTCCGTGTGAATCGGGCTGAAGAGCGAGACGCTGGCTGGTGGAAATGAGGACGGGATGGGTAGGTAGATAGCTACATTCGAAAGATTCGTTCCCGCCTTCCCGTACAAGCACGGCTATCGATTCCATGGCGAGCCTGCTGGCAATCCCCGTAATCCATGCGAGGCGAAGAGTTTCTCCGCCGCGGCGCTCTCGTACTTTGTACTCCGATTGCCTCGAGCGGAGGTGAGAGGGAGGGATGGACGGAGCGCTCAATGTATATATAGTGCGGTCGTTCTCTGGGGAGCGGGAGTCCAGTTGACGTGATATCGACAGCAGATCGCCTCTTCTCTCTCTCTCTCTCTCTCTATCTCTCTCACACAACACACACCAGCTCCTTCCAGCAAAAAAAAAAAAAGTAAAAGAAAATGCGCCTCCCCACCACCCTCCTCGCGGCGGCCCTCGCCCTCGCCACAACCATCACCGCCTCCCCCGCCCCCGCGCCCACCAAAGTCCAAGCGCCCGACCAAAACCTCCGCAAACGCTTCGCCACCAACACGATGCCCGCCTCGTCGGGGCACGTGGTGCTCTCGGCCGCGACGACGGTCAGCGTCTTCGACGGCGGGATGAAGAAGTACGACCGCGGGGTGGCGTGCGGCGGGCAGGAGGAAGGGGGGGACAGCGACGCCGTGTTCCTGGTGCAGAGCGGCGGCACGCTGAAGAACGTCATCATCGGGGCGGATCAGTCGGAGGGGGTGCACTGCTTGGGCCCGTGCACGGTGCAGAATGTTTGGTGGGAGGACGTTTGTGAGGGTGAGTTTGGATTTTTTTTTGAGGTTTTTTTTTTTTTCCGGGGGGGGGGGGAGGATATGGTGGGGGGTTCCGCTTTTTTTTCTTTCTTTCGTTCGTTCTGGTTTCGTCGACTTTTTTTGGGTGATGGTCTTTTTTCTTTTCCTTTACGCCTTTTTTTCCGAGAGAGAGACGGACGTCTCGCGATATCTATTATTGCCCCGCCGACTCGACGACGCGACACACACTGACTTCCCTTCCTCCAGACGCCCTCACCATCAAGCAGACGTCCGGCACCTCGTACGTCGTCGGCGGCGGCGCCTTCCACGCCGAGGACAAGATCGTGCAGCACAACGGCGGGGGCGCGGTCAGCATCAAGGACTTTTACGCAAACGACTTCGGCAAGGTGTACCGCTCGTGCGGCAACTGCGGCACGCAGTACACGCGCTCCGTCACCATGTCGGGCGTGTGGGCCGTCAGCGGCAAGCTGCTCGCCGGCGTCAACTCCAACTACGGCGACAAGGCCACCATCAGCGGGACGTGCGCCGACGGGGTGAATGCCATTTGCGCGTGGTATCAGGGGAATGATGATGGGGACGAGCCGACGGAGCTGGGGACGGGGATTAGCAGTTACTGTGTTTATGCTGATAACGGTGTTGACGACTGTCCTTGAATGAGGGTGGAGTGAGGTGATTTGGGAGGGAGGAGGGAATTGGGGAGTTCCGCAGGCAACAACAACAACAACAACAACATCTGGAGGTCGGAGGCAGGACGAGGGGCCGGACGTTTTTCCATACAACATTTCACATTCATGTCAAATAGCTTATCATCAGCCAGCCCCGCCTCTCTTTTTCCAAACCCGGGGGGAAAAGCGAAGAAAAAAAAAAATCGAAACAAAAGTCCTCCCGGCCCACCACCTGCTGAGACCCGTCCAACTCGCTTCGCCTCCTCTTCTCGCATTGAATAAAAAAAAGTCACAGGCGGCCCCCGTCCTCCCCCCGAGCCTAACCCCCCCTCCCAGACCCAGATCCAGATCCAGACCCAGATCCAGACCCACAATCCCAATCACGATGATGATGATACCCCACCAAAACCTCGGCCTTGCACCGCGCCTGCACGCGGTAGAACCCTTCGCCGTCGCCGGCGGCGGCGAGGGCGCCCAGCCGCCAGAGGACGTCGTCGTGGCGGTGCTCGAGCTCGACGTCGACGGCGGCGAGCCAGCGCAGGAAGCGGGCGAGGGCGGTCTGCAGCATGGCCGGGGTGCAGGCGGTGGGGCTGTGGGAGGAGATGGGCGGCGGCGTTGTTGTCGTTGTCGTTACGGCGGCGGGGGCGGCGGGGTCGGCGGGGGGGTGCTGGTGGATGTTGTTGCTTGTGGGGGTGGGGGTGGAGAAGTGGACGCGTTGGTGCTGGTGCTTGGTCTTGCTCTTGGGTTTGGGGGTGTGGGTGTGGGGAGGAGGCGGGGGGAGGGGGAGGCGGGGAGTTGGGTGTGATGCTGGTGCTGATGCTGGTGCTGGTGCTGATGCTGATGCTGTTGGCAGCGGCGGCGGTGGTGTGTCTACGAATGGAGGGGGAGGCGGGGTTAGTCTTGCTGGCGGCGGCGGCTGCTCTGATGGTGAAATTTCATTGGTGATGTCGGCGGCTGCTGCCTTGCGTTTCTTGCGTGGCGGCGAGGAGCAACAGGGTCCGGCATGTTCCTGCTGCTGCTGCTCCGATTCGTCGTCCTCTTCTGTCGTATCGCCCCCGTCGCCGAGATCGGTTTCTCCGGATCGGTGGGCCGGAGCTGGCACCGCCGCCGCAGCTGAGGGAGACGACGGGTTCGATTGCCTGGCATCGTGTTCTTCGTACAGTGGAGGAGGTATCGTCTCCTTCTCTGGCGCGCGATCCCCTTCTTCTGTTTCCGCTGCTGCTTCTGCTGCCTTCCCGGCATTAGGCTCGAAGACGGAAGCCTGGGGCGGAGAGGTGGCAGCAGTGGTTTTTTCTCCCAGAGCGTCCACTTTCGACAATTGACTCTGCGATGCGGGGGCTGGGAAAATGTCGAAATTGGACCACGCGTCACGCTCGGCGCCGCCCTTGTAGGTGGCTTCGAGATCAATGTCGTGATTCACCAATTTCCTCGCACGCAACGCATCGCAAACGGCGTGGAACGATTGCACGCGATCGGCCGCCAGTGGCAGGTAAACGGAGAGAGTGGTTGTTTCGGAGAGGGACTTGAAGGAGCGCAGGAGACGGCGGCTCTTTTCGGTGGCGGGGATAAGTGGGGGATCCGCCTTGGGCATCACGACTTGACTGTGGGTTTTCAGGTGCAGGTGTAGCTGGAACATGCGCCTGTTGTCGCAGCCGAGGCGGGCGCGGGAAACGGCATTCATAGCGTCGTTGGACTCGGGAATGGGACTGAGGGAGATGCAGGAGTCGTGGTCATAGTCGAACATGTCTGCTTGGAACAGCGCGAACAGCGAACGCGGACGACTATGGGTGGCTGCACGATGGCGTTTGACACTGACGACGAGTTGGAACCAGAGCAGCAGCTTGCCGGTCGAGGGATCCAGTCCGACGGTCATGTTGAAGGAACTGTCCGGCTCATCGCCGAGGAAGCATGTTTCATCACCATCTGCCCACTCTGCAACAGCGCGCTCAATCAAAATCTTGGAAGGATCAACGTGCTTAGCTATGGCTGCCTCCATTGCTGCGGTCTATTCTTTTAAATATCGCCTGCCAAAGCCTTTTTTCCACCAACCACCCGGCTCGCAGCTGCGGGGGCACACGGGGCCTCAGTAAGGCACACGGTCCGCCCGGCAGGAGAAGCACAGGCTGATTTGTCGCTTAGACTCCAAGGACACACGGCCGTCCTCGCAGGCGAATCAGCTCCGACAGCGAGAGGAACCTCGCACAGCACAAGAGAGGCGCACCGGTCACCCGGTATGAGGAGCACTGGGGCTCGCTCGATATGGGAGACACGAGACCTTCTGCTGTGTGCGGGCGAGTGCAGCGACTCGGCAGATGCTGGTTGGCGCGGGACAGACACACGGTCGACTTGAGATTCTGGGGGCACACGGAGTGCAAGATCGCAGGGCGTGAATGAGAGCCAAACGTGGGGTGTGACGGGAAAGCGGTGAGATGATCCAGCGAGGGGCGGTCGGAGCCCGTCGGCAGCGGGGTCGAGCGGGAACGAGATGAATGCGACGGCGTGAAACGGGTCGGGGAGGATGGCGCTGATGGGAAGGTGGAGGGTGGTTGATGGGTGGAGTGGTGTGAACAGGCAACGCGGGAGGTCGGGCTGACGAGGCCGCCCGGAGAGTCGGCAGATGATAACCCGGCTTGGCAACGCGTCGCGTCGCGCGAAACACGGTCACGTGTCAATGCTTAGTGTAACAGGCCACGACTTTCTACATCATATTCCTCACTCGTAGACCCACACGCCAACACGACACACCCATCAAGCACTACGCCAAACTCCGCAGAATCAGGTCCACTTCGGCGTCTGCTGCCTCCAACGCGTGTTCGGGAGAATACTGCGGCTTCCATCCAACCTCGTAGCCATGAGCAGCAGTGAACGTGCACCTAGAATCCCCCTCATCATTCAGCGCGCCGTCCCACCGTCGAGCATGAAGCAGGAGAAAAGATCAAACACTCACGCTCCAGCAAGCTGCACCTCGACAAACTCCTTCGGACACCCCAAGCCCGCCGCCATCCTCTCCAGCGCCGCGTCGTCAGCCGCGCCGACGGCGTCGCTCCCGACGACGCCGCGCCTCGCGAGGGCCGCGGCCATGGCGGCGTAGAGGTCGTCCCACGCCACGCTCCCCGACGCCGCGAGGTAGTAGCCGCGTTTCCCGTGGCCGGGGCTCTCGCCGTCTAGGATCGCCCTCAGGATCGCGAGGAACAGGTCGGTGTTGTCGAGCACGTGGCACACCGGCCACGTCTGCTCTCTTCTCGTCAGCTGCCGAAAGCCAAAGAAACCCGGCGCAGGGCGGGCAGGGGACAGCAAAAAAAAAACGTACCGGTCGCCCAGGCGTGACCTTGTACACCTGGCCCGCTGCTTTCGCCGCCTGCACGACCGCGACCGTTTGGATGGAGGTTTTGTTCCCGAAGCCTTCGCCTGGGCCATCTGTGTCGGAGCCTTGTCGTCAGCCCGGACCTTCTGCCACCGCGCCGAGGTCATCAGACGACGTACAGACGACGCAAGGGACGAAGATGTACGTCCTGACGCCGTGCGCTTCGCCTTGCTCAATGACCGTGGAGTTCGTGTCGACCGCCTGGTCGCGGGGTTAACGTCGCAGCTCGTACGTCAGTGATTCGCACACGTGAAGGAAGGGTGGGAGGGGCTGTCTGTGAACCTCTTGCATCAAGGGCGACGCGGCTTTTTGGGCCTTCTGGATGTCGTACAGGGCCGGTTCTGTGTCGAGGAGCGGACGGTCGGTCGGGGCGCCGGCGTGGCTGGAGAAGATCTTGGCGCCGGAAGTCTGCAGGACAGATGCAGTCGGTACTTCGTTATCCCCAAGACTGGCGAATTGGTGGTGTGCTCACATGCAGGAAATGCACCTCCTGGCCGGTCTTCTTCTTGAGCTGCCCGAGCGCCTTGACGAAGAAGACTTGCGAGTCGGAGTGAAGTGCGTCGATCAGGAAATAGACGATGCTGATGTCGTTGGCTGCGACTGCCTCCATCACGGCGGCCTCGTCGCGGGAATTGAAGGTCAAAGGCTGCGCGCCATATCGCTTGACTGCTTCCGCTTGGGCATCGGTCCGGACAAGCGCGAACAGCTTGTCGTAGCCTTGGAGGTTGGCGCTGCTCCATCTGGCAAGGATGGTGCCGCCAAGATAGCCCGAGGCGCCCGTGATGAGGATGTTTGGAGGCATCGCAAGCGTTCGGGTGCTCTGCAGGGAGTCCCTTTACGAAGTCGCCTCGACGTGTAACAACACTTTAACAACGTGATCAGATTCGGGTTGCGTCATCCTGATGCACGTGGGTGGGGGCCGCGGGTTTGTAAGATGCATCAATGGACCAGCAACGGCCCAAGAACAAAACGTCCCGAAGCAATGCATGTCATCCAGTCTTCCCCCGAGATTATTGGTCCGGTCTCTCGCCTCAGCTAAGCCCAGATCGCCGGACAATAACGACAATAGCGGGCCGCGGAGAAAGAAACACCTACATATGCATTTCGAAGCTCGACCAGCTACCCCGCAGATGTGGCACTATGCGCACTATGCGCCCGCCCGGCGATCGCCTCCAGTCGGGAGCATCGACTCGATCGACGGCCAGCAGCGAGCATCGACGTGGGTTGGAATATCAGTCAGCCACGGCGCTTGCACTAGCGCCCGGCTCTCCCGCTCGTCTGCAGAAGAAGCTAATGCAAGACGGCTGCATGGCATCTGCATTCAAATAATAGTCTCGCTGCACGACAAGACGGGATCGTGCATCTGGTGGGGCGCACGAAGAATGAATGCATGATGATCACCAGCTGGGAAGATGCTTCTTTTCACAATGCAAAACATACGTCTCATTCACAGGGATCCGAACCGCCGAAAGGGAGTGGACCTATCACTACAGCCCTTTTACAAAAAAAAAATTTGGAAGAAAAGAAAAAACCCCCCAGCCTCGTGCAACAAGGAACCCTGACAACACGTACGACATCTTCTCTCCGACGGCGGAAAAAAAAAACCAAAGAAGCAATCAGACGGGCTGATCTCCCCCCTCCCTCTTCGGAATCTTGACGATCCCCGCCGACAAATCGTGCACCAGCGGGTCGCCCCAGCTCTCGAGCGAATACTTCGCCTCCTCGGGCTCCTTCTGGCGATCGACGACGCGCAAGCAAATAGACGACGACTCCTCGACGTACTGGAACATGTCGACGCCGGCGACGGGCGTGACGGGCGCGCCCGCCGTCGACAGCACCGTGACCGAGTCGGCGTCCGGGTTGGGGAACTCTGCGCGGGCGCTGGCGGGGCTGAGGCCGACTGCATCATCGCCATTGCTGCGCAGGAAAACGAGAAAGTTGACGCGGACCGACTTGGGCAGCCGCGGCACCAGCGCGCTCGGGGTGCGGAACGAGACGGTGGCGCCCGGGTCGTCGCCGGCGGTGGTGGTGCGGGCGTCGACCTTGATGCCGAAGGGCTCGTCCGGGGCGGCGGCGGGGTCGAGCTGGAAGCCCGAGATCCACGGGATGATGGAGCGGCGGCCGGGCTTGATGGGGTCGCCATTTCCAGCGGCAAAGTTCTTGTACGGGAAGAAGGGCGAGTCGACGGCGGTGCCGTCGCCGCCGACGGGCTTGCCCGGCACCTTGGATGAGTCCCACACGCCGACGAGGACGTCGCGGTGGCGGGCGTCGGACGGGACCTCGACCCAGACGGACTCGAGCTGCCACAGTTTGCAGGCGCCGGAGTCGGCGGGCACGGTGACGGCGAGGTCGAAGCCGTCGCGGGTGACGCCGCGCGCCTCTTGCCAGAAGCCCGGGGCGGAGTCGCCGGTGCCGGCGTCCATGTCGAGCGTCGCGAAGCCAAGGAAGATCTGGGGCGGCGTGTTGTACGGCTTCTCGAAGGTGACGTGCTCGGTGTAGGAGCCGAGGCCGGGCCCGGAGCGGTCGTCGGCCTTTTTGAGGAGCTTGCCCGTGTGCAGGGCGTCGGGTTCCTTTTCTTCTTCGTCCTCCTCCTCCTCAGGCTTCGATGCTTCTTCCTCCGGCGGTGCTGTGGCTTCCTCGCCGCCGGTCTTGTCTGAAGAAAACGGTATTAAAATTGACGGGCACGACGAGTGGGGGCGCTGGCATACCTTTTCCGTCGACGACGTCGGTGGGGGACTTGACGGCGCCGCCGTCGGGCACGCCGTCGAACGACCAGCCGTCCGACTGGGGGGCGGTCGCGCCGTTGGTGGCCGGGGCGGGCTCGGGCTTGGAGGGGGCGGGAGGCTTCTTCGCGGCGACGGGCTGCTCGGCCTCCTTGTAGCCGTTGACGGCGCCGTTGGCCAGGGCCAGGGTGCCGTCGGGCGTGACGCCCTTGGGTCCCTTCTTGTTCTGGTTGACGAGGCTGCTGTACAGGGCTTTGAGGTCGTGGCCCTTGGCGGCGGCGGCGGCGGACTCGCGGTAGACGCCCTTGCCGTAGCCTTCGTGGTGGAGTTTCCAGGCTGAAGCAAGAGACACGGGGTCAGCAAAGAAGGCAAAACATCTCAGGGGGCACGCGGTTCGGTTTTCAACTCACTCGTCGGATCGAACGTCAGCCACGACCAGCTGTCGTTCAGGTAGCAGCGCTCGGTGCCGACCATGATGCTCTTCAGTACGCCCATGTCGCCGGGGGCGGGCCGCAGGCACTTCAGCTCGGCGCAGACCTTGACGAGAGACATGACGATGGTCACGGCGACCTCCTTGCCCAAGCACTCGTGCGGACCGACGCCCCAGTGGATGTAGGCGCTGGCGGGACGGTCGAGCTTGAACTGCTCGGGCTCGGGGACGAGGCCGCCTTCTTTGCGGCACGCGGGGCCCTAGTGGAAGCAGATGTCAGTTCAGTGTGTACGACCACTTTTTTTTTCTTCCCCATTTCCTTCGAGAACTGAGCGAGGGGAAGATGGAAGCAAAAAAACTCACGAAAAGACACACGACGGCATCGCCCGGATTGAACTTCTGGCCGTCGATCTCGGTGGCGCCGACGCACACGCGGGCGCCGCGCAGGTTGCTGACCATGCGCTCGGCCTCGAGCACGTATGCGCGCAGGGCCTTGTCGGTGGCGGTGCGGTCCGCGCCCGAGGTGGCGAGGTTCTGGACCTCCTCCCAGTGGTGCACGTTGTCGGGGTCGAGGAAGAAGGACATGACGTCGGCGAACTGGTCGAAGCAGAGTCAGCAAAGCATCCATCCATCCGACATTGAAACTTGCCCCTCTCTTGACGAGAGAAGACAAAAGAAGCGAGGAAGGAGGGGAGGGGAGGGCGGAGGAAGGGGAAGGGAGGGGGGACAGCAAACACGCCCGCCAACATACCATCGACACGGGGGCGCCCACGCCCGCCAGCGCCGTCAACCAGCAAATATCCGCCGTATCCTCCAGGGACCTCCCCGCCGCCATAATCTCCCTCGCCACATTATTCCCATACCACCTCAAACTGCCCCTCGCATCCTTCTGCTCGGGCACCAACCTCCCCAACAACGGCACCTTCGCCAACCCCTTGGCAACCCCACTCCCCGCGCGCTTGAGCAGTCCCGGCGCCAAGCCCGCCGTGCCCTCCTTGATGGCCTTGATGGTCGAGGGGATGAGCACCTCGGCCGCGTCGCGGGCCCAGTTGCGGCGGCGCCACGTGAGGGCGGGGTCGTTGTTGTTGAAGCCGTAGGTGCGCACGGCGACGAGGTGCTCGTACAGCTGGGGGACAGTCAGAGTGCCTTTCGGGTTTTCCTCCGTCTGCAGGTCCTGGCACCAGAGGTCGGCGATGAGGCGCGTGTTGAGCGGGATGGCGACGTCGCGGATGATGTCGAGCTGGGTGAGGGGGTCCGCGGGGTTGGCGCGCAGCTCGAGGCCTTCGCGCTTGACGAGCTTGCGGGCGTGGGCGATGGCCGTGTCGGCGAGGAGGCGGCCGAACTCGGCGGGGGTGTAGAGGATGTCCTTGACGAGCTTCTTTTGGGCGGTGTTGGCGGGGGCGTCGCCGCCGAGCATGAAGCCGGCGAAGCTCTTCTTGCCGGGGAAGAGGCCCTCGTAGGCGACCCAGGGGATGTGGAAGTTGGCCTGGTCCTCGAGCAGCCGGGTGATGGTGGAGTGGCGGGTCAGCAGGATGGGGCGCTTGGGCGGGGCGGGGCGGGCGGTGGTGTAGTCGGCGATGGTGCCGAGCTCGGTGGCGATCTGCTGGTTCATGTCGCGGGTGAACATGGGCTGCATGATGTGCAGCGAGTTGAAGGGGTACCAGCCGGGCAGGGCGCGCTGGAAGAGGTGGAAGAACTTGGAGCCGCCGAGGACGTCGTAGTCGGGCTTGACCTCGTTGAAGCCCCAGTTGGTGAGGTTGCCGGCGGTGTAGTCGAGGGTGCAGAAGCGGTCGCTGCGGACGAGGGTGACGGCGTCGCTGAAGACGGCGCGGCCGACGGTGTAGGGCGGGCAGCCGCCGCAGCCCGGGTCCATGCGCGGCTTCGCGTCCTCGAGGAACATGCCCGGGTACATCTCGACCATGTCCGGGTGGTCGTACAGCTTGCGCAGCAGGTCCGCCACGGCCGGGTCCGGGTTGACGTCCTCGAACGTGTCGTGCCGCTTCAGCTTGAAGAAGTCGCGCAGCTCGTTGAGGCTGGCCAGCTGCCACTTGCGCGCCGTCAGGATCCCCGTCACCTCGACGATCTTGAGGAACTTGGGCACCATGCGCGCCCCGAACAGCCCGGCCGGGTCCTCCATGGCCGCCGTCATCTCGCGCTCGAGGTCGGCGTCGGCGAAGCGGCCGTCGGGCCCGCGCTTGAGGCTGCCGAACTCGCGCTTGCTGGGGTCCGCCGGGATGGTCTGCTCGAAGGCGAAGAGCCCCTGCACGAACTCCTGCGGCGTGAGCTGGTCGAGCGGCTTGGCGCTGCCCGGGAACAGGCTCGACAGGAAGTCGTTGAGCCAGATCTCGTCCTTCTTCGAGATGATCGAGTGGAACCGGTACAGCAGGTTGAACTCGGCCGACACCTGGTTGCCCGCCCCGCGCGGGATCCCGTCCGGGTCGAACAGCCGGCTGGCCGCGATGCGCGGGTCCAGCGTCCAGTCCGTCCCCGAGTGGTGGCAGTTGGTGAGCCCGCGCAGGTAGTCGTGCAGGCTGATGTTGACGTACAGCCCGCCGACGATGCTGCGTGCCGCGTCAGCATCACTGGACGTGTGAGAGAAGGGTGAGTGCTTACAGTCTTGCCGTCTGGAAGAGGTCGTTGTCCTGCTTGGCGACGGCTGCCTTCTTGCCCTCCTCCGTGTCGGACGGCACCAGCGTGAACCGTCCGCCCTCGTTGATCTTCAGCAGCACGTCCGCGACGTAGTTGTGGAACCTGTTGTACATCACGAGGATGACGTTGACCCCGGGCGGCTGCCCGATCAGCCGCCGCTCGTGGAACGTGTCCGGCTTCAGCAGCCCCTTTTCCATGGTGCGGATCTTCAGTTGGTCTTCGAGGCTCGAGCCGTACAGCGGCGCGAGGTCGAGGTACGAAGACGTGTCTGAGATGTTGTTGTCGAACCGGTTCGTGCGGAAGATGTCTGCCCGAGTGAGCGAGAGGAGCGGGACGGCGGTAGGTACGCAGACAGCTTACCGTGAATGATGATGGTTGCGTGATAGAAGAGCATGGAGCTGACGCCGGCCGGGTTCTCCTTGAAAGTCTCGTCACTTCTGGCCATGAGCAGGTCGAAGAGCAGGCCCGGGTCCGGAGGCACGCCGTGCTGCGATTTGAGCCTGGGCACAGAGCGTGCGTAGTGGCTCCCGGCCTTTCCCAGGTCCGGGTTCATCGGATTCTGCGCCCCAATGAGCATCGTCATCTCACACTGCAGGAGTCAAGCTTGTTGCTTACGTTGAAACTGCCATCCGGCGTGCGGTACTGGAACTTCTCGCCCATGTACGTGAGCGGAGGGTGCTGCAGGCTCGACCACAGCGTGTCGATGATGACCCCCGACAGCTTGTCGCGCGTCTTCGAGTGACGGGGCAGCGACGCCGTGAGCGCGATCATCTTTTCCATCTGCGATTTTCCCATCAGCTGCGGCGGCCGCCACGCACCCGAACCTCGTGCACACTTACCATCATCTCCCGGTCGTTCTGGGGCTTGCCCTTGGCCTTGAACACCTCGATCAACGTCTTCAGGTCCTTTGTCGCGGCGCTGAACCCGACCGTGCGCAGGTCCTCGACGAGGTTGGACGAAACCACTTCCGGGTCGCCGTACGGCTCGCCCGCCTGGAACTTCTCGTCGTCTTCCTGGCTCGCCTTGGCCTTCTTGTTGAAGAGGTTGAGAGGGTTGAGCCTCGACAGCAGGTTGGGCCGGATCGACCGGATGCTGGAGAGCGTGGCCAGCGTGCCCTTCGGGACGAAGCCCTTGGGCTTCATGAACCAGGCCACGATGTCTCTGATGCCGGGCACCTTGTGGAGGTTGAACACCTTGAACACCAGGTTTTTGAGGATGCCCGTCGGCGACAGGAACTTCAGGTACGAAGGAAGCTCGGGGAGGAGGGACTTGGGCAGTTTCGGGCTGAGGAAATGGCCTTTCGGAAGGTGACTGCTGAGGAGCTTGCCATTGGGAAGACTGGCCAGTGGGGACTTCAACGGGCTTGTGGGGAGTTTGCTGCTAGGCAGTGAAAGAGAGGGCTTCTTCGGCAAAGAGAACGGAAGCTTGGGCAAGGAGAGGTTGGGCTTGGGAAGTGACTTCGGAAGCGAGAGTTTCGGCAGGTGAAGGTCCTTGGGGAGTAAAGACTTGGGATCGAAGCCCTTCAAGTTGGGTATCAACGAACTCAGGGGTCGCTTGCGGACGAATTTCTGAAACAGCGCGAAAGCCAAGAGGGCCAGGCCGAGGACGGGGAGCACAAGGGCCAGGGGGCCCAGCCCTTTACCCAAAAGTCCTTTGGCGGAGTCCAGCCATGTCTGGCTTTGCTTGCCTCCAAGGAGACTCAGGGGCCATGAGCGGCCCTTGGGACTCGGGGCAAGTGCTTTGGGGAGCACGCTCTTGCTGGGACTGCTGAACGGGTTCCAGCGAGATGCTGCTTTGGAAGGAGAAGAAGCGAAGGGGGAAGAGAATAAGCTCGGCATGGTGATCGAGCCTGCTCGGGTCAAGGTTCTGTAGAGTTGCTTGAATGGTGAGTCCTGCGTAGTTTGAGGTGAGCCGCCATTATATGTCCGGACGCGGAAACTGTGCACGTTGACGATGTACGACCATCACATGCGGTCAACGCCCCTCAGCATGTCCCGGCAAAGAAGCAATGCGTCCGTCTGCGAAGCCATTGGCCAATCAATGACCGGTGAAACCGATGAAGAGATAGTGAGGACGGACGAAGAAATGTGGCTACGGGTCCCCGCTTCTCGCCAATTGCATCAATGCCTCTGATTCCGAGCATGACACCACCAGGAGTGCCTTCACCAGCGAGCGTGTCCAATCGAGTTTTCACACGTTCTCGAGCGCGCTAAAGGGGCATTGCAGCGCTTCCGTGGCCATTGTCCCGCTCGTAGCGCAGTGAAACCATCACCGGACTCGAGCGTGCGGAGAAGCTTGCCACGGGCCGGCGGAGTGAGCATCTTGCCCACCTTGGGAAGTCAGACCATGGCTGCCGGCGCAGAAGTGATATCACCTACGGCGCCGGTCTGCTTCTCCGCCGCGTGCAGCGGCTTGCGGTGGATCCTACCCTACCCCGCTCTTGCAACACCGAAATGAAGGCGGGTTTGCCCTATCAAGGCGAGTGCATATCAACAAGCTGGAATGGCGAGCTGGCGGGACGCCGTTCAGCTGTGCAACAAGACGCATCGCGAAAGCCACTCCAATCCACCCCGTCCGATCACCTCGCACAAGCAGGAAAGAAGCGATCCCCGTCAGCCATCTGCTTATCTCGACTCGGCATCGATTGGTCAATGGCAAGCTTGGATCTTGTCCCCGCGCGCCATCGTATCGCTGCACGCCTGCACACGGGGGACTGTGTGCCGGGGTTCCCGCAGCAGGGCCTGCGGTGTTCCGGTGAGCTGGTCTTCCCGGCGTGGCTCGCATTGCATATGTGCGAGGCGGTAGCGTAGGGCGCGGGCCAGATGCCGCCCGGCCGCGCTCGAGCAGACTAATGCGCACGAGACGACGGCGTGCGGTGCAACATCTGGCTGGTCTGGCAGTTACACAAGGCTCGATAGTCCACTACCGCTGGCCGATGGCCGACATGGCACTCCCACTGACCTGACCACATGTTAGCACGAAGTTCGGCCCCGCTCGCGGAATGCTCTGCGGAACGAAAAGCGGGCGCAGGTATTAGTGCAGCTCGTCCTGAAAGTGCTGCTTTATCAATCCTTACGACCTCGTCAGCATCAGTTCCCAGAGTGCCCTCATCATAGCGAGCCCAATCTTCTCCCATCCATTGACAAGCTTCCCCC